TTAATCACCTCAAGAGAGAATAAATTCAGTTCCTCTAATCTTTCCTCATAGCTGAGCTCCTCCATGCCTCTTATCAGTTTGGTTGCCCTTCTCTGTACTTTCTCCAGTTCCCCAATTTTCTTTTTGTGAATTGGTACCCAAAACTGAACTGCATATTCCAGATGAGGTGTTACTACTGATTTGTACAGGGGTAATATGATATCTCTCTCTCTGAAGTCTATACCTCTTTTAATACAAGAGAGGATTTTGCTCGCAGCTGCAGCTTGGCATTGCATGCCATTATTAAGCTTGTGATCTACCAGAACTCCCAGATCCTTCTCCACCATTGATTCCCCCAGTTGTGCCCCCCTAGTATGTATGATACATGCATATTCTTAGCCCCCAAGTGCATAACCTTACATTTATCAACATTAAACCTCATTTGCCACATAGTTGCCCAATTAAACAGTGCATTGAGATCAGCTTGTAAATTGAAGACATCCTGTAAGGACGTTATTCCACTGCACAGCTTGGTGTCATCTGCAAAGACTGAAATGGGATTTTTAATCCCTGACCCTATATTGTTTATAAATATATTAAAAAGTAAGGGTCCCAACACTGAACCTTGGAGTACACCACTGACAACCCTAGACCATTCACAGTATGAATCATTAACCACTAATCTCTGAATACGATCTTTTAGCCAGTTTTCTATCCATTTACATATAGATTTTTCCAAGCCCGTAGACTTTACCATACACATTAACTGTGTCAAATGCTTTTGCAAAATCCAAGTATACCACGTCCACCAAAGTGATGCTAGTGGTTTGAATCATCCGCTATTTTTTTCTGTTGTATTGAACTGCATCAGGTTATTATTATTCTCTAGTATACTGATGCGTAGTGGCTGTTTAGAGCCACTACAACATATTTACTTATGTCATTTGGTATCCTCCTCTGTTCTTCTGTCCTGTTTAGTGCTAGTTAGTTCAGTTCTAGCTAGGCCCTTCCTGTTTCTTCCATGTTCACTCAGTCCGTGTTAGTACTTCGTAGAGACAGGATTTAGGAAAAGTCATTGTCTTCTTACAAAAAAAAAGAGGAAAACTAATGCAGCCATCACATCTAAGGATTAGTAGCCTGCAATATATTACATTTTTGGTTTGGGGTTTATTACTGCTTTAAGTATATTTTGTTACTACATAAAGTTACTACAAAAATAAAGGGCTTACACTTATCTCTTAATGAAAAATTCCATACAGTATGTATATGTAGCAAAATAACAAACAATGAAATTAGCATGCATTGCCTATAGTTTTCCTTTATTTTTATAGACCCAGTGGGAAGTGCTCAAATTTAGTTTGTTCTTGTTTAAAAAAATTAAAGCTTTTTTTTTTTTTTTGTGGAACATTCACAAAGACAGGAAATTTAGACATAAATCAGTAAGGCATAATGCAACAAATCAATAGGTATTAGTTAATAATTACTGTTGATAAGGTTAGTTATTTTACTGCTCTGCCATACAATATCAAACTGTAATAGACAGATGATACATCTTGATTTGACCTTTGAATTTCTTTCTGAATGGAAACATAAGGACTAAGCTGCAGCATGTGTTATATCATTTTTCATACTGAAGGCATTCCGTGACCATGTGTGACCTATGAACCATAAAATACTCAAATTCCGTAAGCATCGGAAAGCTGTCAGACCTTACAAAAGGCTCCCAAACCTTTTTTTTTTATCGTTTAAATGTACAGACACATTAGGCTCAGTTGACAAATTAAGCATACCTAAAAATTATTTTTAAAACATTTAACTATTTTAAGTTGAAGTCAATGGCATTTGAAAATTACAGCCATTTGACTAAAAATAAAGATCCTTGTGTTAAAGCTTTGTGAATAAAGCCTGTTGCCCTCCTGTACTTGGCCCTTCTTACTGTCTGTGAGTTCCTGAATTTTGTGAGAGCTGAGATATTTTATTTTTTTCTACTAAACTGTAGAACCTCTTGCTGGCAACCACCCTGTTTGTAATACATCAATATCTCTCATCCGCATGAGAATAAAAGCATGTACCAATGACTTGCAGGGCCGAAAAAAATTTAGAATACTAGATTTTATGACTGGCATCACCTGTATCTCATCCCGATCAGCATGTCAACAGAGAAGGCTATGCACTGTCACCCCTGCTAGGTGACCGGCAGGGGGCTCAGCTGTCTACAACCAATAGTGTGGACCCTTACACACATGCACCACTCAGCCCCATGATATAACCAGCATTGGGCCCTTATGCGCTGCTGCTGCTGCTGCAATAGAGACAGAGATGCCAGACCAGTGCTGTCAATAGCAGGGACAGGACAGCAAGAGGAGGCTGGGAAACCCCAGGGGGGGCAGAATGCCAGGGCCTGGTCGCAAGTGCAAGTGTTCACTCACCCAAGGGCTGAGGTTGGTAGCTCAGGCAGAAGCATCAATCCTACAGCCAGAAATCTATAGCTGCTGGCTGCTGTTTTTCATATTTCCCGCCCATACACCCCCTTTCTCTCAGGCACAGCTGTATGCTGGGGACCGGTGTGTAGGTGGGTCGAACAGACACAGGGGGAACAGGGGCATCTGTGAGGAGAGGGGGGGGGGGTGGCTGGGCTGTGTCCGTGAGAGTGTCACAGATACTCAGCACAGCTGCAGCCACCGGGCCCTAAATTTACAGACTGCTTGGGGCCCCCCACATTGGCGGAACACTAGGGCCCAGTCGCAAATGCGACCTCTGCGACCCTGGTAGTTCCGCCACTGGGCCCAAAAAGTTTATGTGCAAGGCAAGCAGGCTTAGAAAGGGCTAATAAGGGTACTTTTGAATAAGCCAGTCCCCTCACTATGAAGGGGGGGGGCACAGAACATCCATAGTGTTAGTGTATTAGAAGCTGCTATAGGGAAAGCTAACACACTGCATAGTGTGAGATTATGACCACTCAGGAAACCAAACTGTATTTCTCATTGCTAGCTCTTTAGTCAATGTACTCCTTTGCTGGTCCTTTTTTTTGTATGGGGCTTTTCGTCTTTTATTTTATTTTATGGTTGATTTGAAGTTAGTGGCTTTTAAATGCTACTCCATCTATAGTGTATATAGATTTTATGTTACAAGGCTTCTCTTTAAAATGTGCTTTTCTTTCATGTGGTTGTACCATCTGCTCTTGGAGCTGCCTTATGTTTGCAGTATGCCACTACATCATTTCAAAGTGACAAAAAAGTGCAAGAACATTGTGCAACTAAACCAGCAAACATATTTCACTCACATTCACGACACACTTCTAACTCCATAGATAAAATAAGTTAGGCATAACTCAGTTAAGCTTCTTATCCCTGATTTAAATCTGTCCTATTGCTCCTCCATTTTGCACTGTTATTTCCTCTAAAAGTTACTAATGCTTGTAGTAAAGCCCCAGCCTGTGCTCTTTGTCTCTAGTAAATTTTGGCCTTAGCCTTGCTTATTAAAAATTCCATGCAGCTGGCCAATTTCATACTGCTGTATTATATTCAGTCTATTAGTTCTTGTAGCAAAACGCTTGCTGGACTCTGGGTCTCTAGTACATTTTAGTCAATTCTCCCTCAAAAATATCCTGCTGCTGGCCAATTTTATACTGCTGTATTATCTGTGGCCTCTTAATTCTTAATGAGGACTTGGTAGAAATTGGCAGTGTCAGTACAGTTTTGCAATGAGAACAGAGACAGTCTCTGCAAACTACTGGACAATTTCGATTCGCCAGTAACAGCAAGCCTATGCTACGCTTGATGGAAAAGAATGGGGTCTATTTATTTTTGCAAATTTCTCAACATTTGTGCAAGAGTAATGAATAATGCTAGTAATGTTTGTAATCTGTGGGTATTAGATTCCTTGTTGCCTTTCATTGTGCAAATGTAAAATTCCCTAAAATTAGATTCTAAGGGAAAAATAACTATAAGAACATTTTACGATGAGAGTTAACATTTATCAAAAGAGAAAACAGCCAAACACTATAGGCTATTAATAATAATAATAATAAGACGAAGAAGAAACATTCAGCCAGCAGAGGAAAAATTACGAGGGAAACTTCTGCACTGTAGGGAATATTTTTGTGAATTGTCAAGCAAATGGGTGTTAGGCCAAATTAAAGCAGAGTTCCAGCTGAAAAAAAAAATAAAAGTCAGCAGCTACAAAAACTGTAGCCGCTGACTCTTAAAATAAAGCCACTTACCTGTCCCGCGGTCCAGCGGTGTCCTCACCACCGCTGGTTTCACCAGCCGTCTTCTCTCCCTGGCGCCGGCATCTTTAGTGTGGGCATCCATCTGTGACAGCTTGTGGCATCACAGCCGGGTGCCCAAGGCACATGCGTGAGAAGCACCGCGCTTTGTGAATGGTCCCATAGTCTTCTGGGACCTGTCACGTATCCCAGAAGACTACAGGGAGGGGGGGGAGGACAACTTCTGCTTCCGATTGCCTAGGAGATTGCAGCGGAAATGGGAGCGGGTACCTGTCTTGATAGTCAAGGTCTCATAATCAGTGAAAGAGGGACCATTGCTATTTTAACAAGCTAATGATCCTAATCACAGCTTAATACCTACAGTAATGACAGCCCCAACAAAAGATGAAGGTTTTAGAATGGACATCAGAGTATTAAGACAGAGTAGGTACATCTCAAATCAATTGTGCCCTAAAATTGGCAGAATGATGTTTGTGACCTAATGGTCTTTATTTACTAAAGCTGGAGAGTGCAAAATCAGGCTCACTTCTGCATAGAAACCAATCAACTTCTAACCTCAGCTTGTTCAATGAAGCTTTGGCATTACAACCTGGAAAATGATAGGTTTCGATGCAGAAGTGAGCATGATTTTGCACTCCAACTTTAGTAAATAAACTCCATTATGTCCATTTCTTTTCTCAGAGCAAGTCAGCAACATATATATTTCTTTTAGGAATATATATACTTTTATATGTCTTTCTATATTTAACTGTTTTAAATATATACTAGAATATATGTTAATTTTTGCTTCCAGGCCATCAGTTTATTGGCAGGACAAACCAAAAATGTCTTCTGTTTGTGGTAAGTCAAGTGTTTTGTTATCCTCTATCCCTAACCTACTTACATCCCTCTGCACATGCAGAAAAAATAGTATATAATGGGGTTTTATTGTAGGTCCATATGGCTAGATACATAACATAAACACATTGAGGCTGACTTGCTAAAGTAATAGAGGCTGTTCACTTAGCAAAGCACAAGTTCACGGACATTAAAATGGAGCTAAGCTTGGGCATCCTGCAAACTCATCTCTAGCCAAACTCTGAACCACGTTCTTTTTATACTCCAATGATGTGTCATTGCCGCTCCGCAGCTCACCGGAGTAATGACATCATCCCAGGCCAGGCAATGACGATGGCCAAAGACCAGTACGTGTTGGAAAGGACCATTGAAGGAGAGGTAAGTTTAGCTCTGCTTTAAATGTTATGTCTATGGTGTAGTGTGGCCCTAGCTTTAGTTACATATTACGCTATCCTAGATTGTAAGCTCTGAGGAGCAGGGCCCTCAAATCCCTCTTGTATTGAACTGTATTGTTACTGTATTGTCTCCCTTTATATTGTAAAGCGCTGAGCAAACTGTTGACGCTATATAAATCCTGTATAATAATAATAATAACCTAGACATACCAGCATGATAATGGCACCTTTGTACAAGCTTCCATCATCACCTTTTATAATGCTAGTTGCAATAATGCTAGATTTATGTCTGATTTATACTCACTGACTTTATAATGTAGTTGCAATAATGTAGATTTATGTCTGATTTACACTGCTTTATGTAGTGTAACTGTACAGACCAACAAACAAGAAAGAGGAGAGTTACTATCACATTTCTGAACTATAGTGAGTGTTCGAACACCTTTAAAAATCCCCTGCACCCCCTTTTCCTGAATTTAGCCAGAAATGGTAAGATGAGTGAGACGACTGAAATAAAACAAGAAAAAAATTACCACCGTTTGCCTTTTCTAACCCTGTTGACCTAAGCACTGGCCCGCATGTGTCATTATAGTAAATATAGCTCTGACCCCAGGCAAGAAGTCTTGTACAACATCAACAGGTATACATGCAGTATGCACACTGATGTTTTTCTGCTTAAACCTACATTTTTTGTCTAAATTAAATATATTGGAAGATTTGGGCAGCAGCCTGTACACAGCAGATGTGTTGACAGAAGTGATGACTAACAAAGCTGTAAATATGTATTTCCTTTAAAAGACAACATGCCAATCTCCTTTTGCTAACTGTGTTCAACAGGTCTGACAGCAAGACAGGAGGAGCTGGCGAAGCATAAAACAATGAGCAATATGTATATAGAAGACAGGTAATATGAACAGCTGTGGGAGCTGGATAATAAATTGAAGACAGTGTGGTAATTTACTAAAGGAGTTGGGAATCGTCACTCATAAAATTGAAAGAGGATTTACTTCAGTTACTCAATCAAGAAATGCCCGTAGCGAATAGGGAAGAATGGAAATAGCGCAGGGCATACATGACTAGGCCCAGAGTGGTGTAGGGAACGGAAAGGGTTAAATTTAGCTCCAGGGGGTGGGGAATTGATTGGGGAATTATAGTATATAGATGTGGAGTGTAGGAGGGGTCTGTGGTACCTTAGGGTGGGGGGTTCTGCGGAAGGGGCGTCAGTGGAGCTGGACGTGGCAAGGACCAGAGCTTGGTGCAAGGACCGGAGCTTCATGTGAGCTGGGTCCTGTTATTTTTTTTTTCCCCCCTATCAGACTTGTGCAGCATGGAGGACCTTTTGGCACAGCTGCGGGTGGCAGCGGAAGAAAAAGGTACGGGCTGGTTGCAGGGCCGGGTCTCTGAGCTGTTGGGAGACCCGGGCTTGTCACCAGCTGCAGGGGGGCGGGTGCGCCCACGTGCTCGGAGGTCTAGGCCTCCGGAGCGCTTCAGTCCGGCCCCACCCCCTGTTGGAGCTCAGCGCCGCAATGGGAGCCCCCCTCGGGACCCTCCGGCCCCGCTGGCAGGGCGCTCACTTGCCTCTGCTAGCGGAGGTGCCGGGAGGAATCCCCAGCGATGGCGGAGCTCGGCGGGCGGGGTTTCGCTAAGTGGCCCCTCCCCCCCACCCGCCCGCACAGCGAGGAGGACGCAGAGGGAGCTCGGCGGGCGGGGTTTCGTGAGGTAGCCCCTCCCCCCCGCCCGCCGGCGCACGGCGAAGAGGAGGCAGAGGGAGCGCAGGTACCGGCTCCTCCGCTGACAGGGTGTCTGTCAGGGAGGGAGCTCGGCGTGGGAGGCGTTCGGCTGCGGCTGCCGGGCTGTCCCCTGATGCGGCTGGTGGGCCCCCTGGACAGTCGGGAGCTGGGGCTCCGGGAAGACGGAGGAAGAGGTGCAGCGCTGGGCGGAGTGCAGCTGGGAGTGCTGCAGGACGGAGCCCAGGGACGGCGACTGGCGTGGCTGGTGCCCAGAGGCGGAGTCAGGAGCGGCACAACCCTGCGGGACCCGTGGCTCCTGGGACCGGGAGGCCATCCGGACGTCGAGCGGTGGACGGGAGAGGTCGGAGGGCGAGCTGTCGGAACCCGATGCGGGGGCGACGGCTCGCCGCTCTTCATCGATGGAGCGAGAGCGCGCGGCTGATGGGGCATCTCCTGGGCAGCCTGGTGAGTTATCTGTTCCTGTGTCTGTCTCCCTTTCTTCTGCGTTGCGGGATCTGCTGGGGGGCGGTCAGGCCGCCCCGGTGGGTGCGGCCTCGGCGGCGTTCGTTGGCGGCGTTCCCCTGTCCGGTTTAGGTGGGGGTCTCGGGGAGGTGATTTCCGGTTTGCGGGACTTGTTGCGGCGGCTGGAGTGGGGCGGTGTTGGGACCCCTGGGCCTGCTTCTGCGTGGCTCCCGCCGGCCGGTGGGGACGGGCTCGCGGTTCCTGGACAGGACAGAGGGGTGGTGCGGGGCCTGGGGGTCTCTTCTCCGCTTAGTTCTGGGACTGGGTTGGTTACCGCGGAGTCTGGGGTTCTGGGCTCTGCGGTTCCTTCCGCGGTTTTGGGGGAGGGTTCGGGGGTGTCCGGACCTGTCGGCGTGGTGGACTCTGCGAAGGGGGAAGTGTATGTGTGTTTTGAGGGCCCCTTGGGTGCGCATTTGCAGTCGGACGTACGGGAACAAATTTGGAAAGGGGAGTATGTGGACATATTCACACTCTTGCCTTTGGAGCGTTTTCCGTTCGATGGGTCCCGGTTGATGACGGTAGACGGGAGGATGCGGAGCGGCGGCGTTTTTCGGCTTATCCCCCGTACTTTTGCGAATTGGTTGCAGGCTTTCGCAATCATGGCCAGTGTCATTGGGGAGAAAGCTCCGGAGCATTGCTCGGCGTTGTTCTGTTACCTGGACGCCATTAGTGAGGCTCACAGGGTTTACGGCGGGTCTGCGTGGCTTCGGTATGATGACCAGTTTAGGCATCGGAGAGCTGTTCGCCCGTCGTTGCGTTGGGACCATAAGGACATTGGCCTCTGGATGCGGCTCATGGCGCCGCCGAGGGCCCCTGGTCCGTTTTTTTCAGGGCGGGGCCGGTGGTTCGTTTTCCCCCGGGACAATCGGCCGCCAAGCGTAGGGGTTTCTGCTGGCAGTTCCAGGAGGGCACTTGTCGTTTTGGAGGGTCCTGCCGGTTTAGGCACGAGTGTTCCGGGTGCGGTGGATCCCACCCTTTCTCGCGCTGTTTCAGGCGGGGTAGAGGCCCTCCCGGAGAGCCTGCGGGTAAGAGGGACGACGCCGGTGCGGGTGGAAAGGATGGGGCCTTTCTTAAATAGATATCCTGATCGGGCTGCGGCGGTCCTGCTGGCGGCAGGTTTTTCGGAGGGTTTTCGCATCCCCTGTACTTTGACTTTGGTCCCCCCCTTAGCTCGGAATTTACGGTCGGCCTTGCAGCATGCTGAGGTGGTTTTGGCTAAGTTGCGGAAGGAAGTGGGGTTAGGTCGTATGGGTGGTCCGTTTCCTTGTGCTCCGTTTGCGGATCTGGTAGTTTCTCCCTTTGGGGGTTGTGCCTAAGAAAGAGCCGAATGCGTTTCGGTTAATTCACCACCTGTCCTTCCCTAAGGGGGGGTCGGTGAATGACGCTATAGATCCGGAGTCGTGTTCGGTGTCTTACACGTCCTTTGATGCGGCAGTGTTCTGGGTTCGTCGGTATGGGCGCGGTGCACTCATGGCGAAGTCCGACATTGAGTCGGCGTTCCGGCTGTTGCCGGTTCATCCGGACAGTTTTTTTTTTTTTTTGGGTTGCCGTTGGCAGGGCGCGTTTTACGTTGATAGGTGTTTGCCCATGGGGTGTTCTATCTCTTGTGCGTTGTTTGAAAAGTTCAGTTCGTTTGTGGAGTGGGTGGTTCGGGATGTTTCGGGGGTGAATTCGGTCATCCATTATTTGGATGATTTTCTTTGCGTGGGTCCGTCGGCTTCCGGGGTGTGCGCGGTCTTGCTTGCTACGTTGCAGCACGTTGCTGAACGTTTCGGGATTCCTTTGGCGGCTGATAAGACGGAGGGTCCGGCTTCGGTGATGACTTTCTTGGGCATCGTTTTGGATTCTGGCGCAATGGAGTGCCGGCTGCCCAGAGAAGCTGTTGGCCCTTCAGGGTGAAATTCGCGCGGTTCAGGGGAAGCGAAAAAATCAGCTGCGGCCCTTGCAGTCATTGTTGGGAAAACTTAATTTCGCTTGTCGGATCCTGCCGATGGGTCGGGTGTTCTGCCGCCGGTTGGCGGCGGCGACGGCGGGAATTGCCTCCCCTTTTCATTTCATTCGGCTGACTCGGGAGCATCGGGAGGATTTGCAGTTGTGGCACACCCTTTTTGGATTCTTTCAACGGGCGGGCACTTTGGATGTCTGGCCCGGTTAGTAATTTTGACTTGGAACTGTTCACGGACGCGGCGGCTTCTGCGGGATACGGGGCCTTTTTCCCGGGGTCGGTGGAGTGCGGCCTCGTGGCCGGCTTCCTGGCGGGAGGCAGGTTTTCTCAGTAACTTAGCGCTGTTGGAACTTTTTCCAGTGGTTTTGGCAGTTGAGGTTTGGGGGGAGAATTTTCGGAATCAAAAGGTGCGTTTTCACTGTGTGACAATTGGGGGTGGTTCAGGTCATCAATAGGGTCTCGGCTTCTTCCCGACCGGTGGTGGCCCTGCTTCGCCACTTAGTGTTGCGTTGCTTGCAGCTGAATGTTTTTCTCCATGCGGTACATCTCCCTGGGGTTGACAACACCTTAGCTGACGCTTTGTCTCGTTTTCAGTGGGACAAATTCCGAGAGTTGGCGCCGGCGGCGGAGCAACACGGGGTTCCTTGTCCCGACTGGCTGTGGGAGATTGCCTTGGAGTCGTTGCGGGCTGGATCCGGCGGTCGGTGAGTGAGGCGACTTGGTCCGCTTACTCTACGGTCTGGCGGGAGTGGATGGATCTGTTGCGATTGGCCGCTATTGATCCCTGGGGGCCGGAGGTGCGTGTGGCAGTGTTGTACTTCTTGGCGCGGAGTTTGGAGCGGGGGGTGTCGGCGTCCGCGGTGGATCGCCGACTGGCGGGATTGGCGTTTTTCTTTTAAGTTACAAGGGTGTCGGGATTTCACTAAAGATTTTTGGGTTCGACAGGCTCTTTGGGGTTATCGGAGGGCTCATCGTTGTAGGGATTCTCGTCGTCCGGTGTCGTTCGAGTTGTTGGGGTCTTTGTTTGAGCATTTGCGGACTGTGTGTTCTTCGGATTTTGAGGTGGTTTTATTTCGGGCTGCCTTTGCGGTGGCCTTTTTTGGGGCGTTGCGGATTGGGGAGCTCGTTAGTCCGTCCAAGTCGGTTCTTGGGGGGTTGTTGGGGGAGGAGGTTGTGTGCTCCGGTGAATGGGTGGAGGTGCTTGTCCGTCGGTCTAAGACGGATCAATTGGGCAGGGGTGCGAAGGTGCGTTTTTTCGCTCTTCCGGGTCACTGGTGTGCCCGGTTCAGGCGGTTCGGGAATTTTTGTCCCGTCGCCCTGGGGGGCGGGGGTCCTTTTTCAGGCACATTGATGGATCCCCTTTAACGCGTTTTCAATTTGTGGCAGTTTTTCGCCGGTGTTTGACGGCTGCTGGTTTAGATGCGTCTTTGTATGCTTCGCACTCGTTTCGGATCGGGGGGCTGCTGCTACGGAGGCGGCCAGGTGGGGGCTGTCGGATGATGTGGTGAAGCGCATTGGTAGGTGGGATTCCCAGAGATTTCGCCTGTACATTCGGCCGCATTTGTTGCGGGATTAGTGGGCGGTCCTGTGTTTTGTTTGTTTGGGTTGTGGGGGGTAGTTGCGGTTCTGTCCCTGTGCTGTATTGTTCTGGCGGTATTGTTTCTTTTCTTTCAGGTGGAGAGGTGTGCCTGGTGTGGATCCTGGGTCACTTGTATGTGTTTTGGGGGGCCAGGCGGGCTGATGTTCGGCCCAATGGCAGGCAGCTGGGGTTGGATAGAAGGGAGGTTTGTGTCCGCTGGTTAGGTGTGCCGGGCATGTTGTGGAGTCGTGTCGTGCCCGAGGTGCGGCGTTTTGCGCGGCTGGATAGACCACCGGATGTGTTGGTGATTCACGCGGGTGGCAATGATTTGGGGGGTAGGTCCATGCGGGAGCTGGTTCGCGATGTCAAGCTGGATTTTCTTCAGTTGCGGCGGGAGTTTCCGGGGATGGTGGTGGTGTGGTCTGACATGGTCGCCCGCACTTCTTGGCGCTTGGCGCGGTCGTGGAGCGGCTCAACAAGGCCAGGATTAAGGTCAACCGGGAGGTGGGGCGCTTTTTTAGTCGCAATGGAGGGTTGGTGGTCCGGCATGTGGAGTTGGAGGTGGATACTTGGCGGTATCTTCGCAGTGATGGAGTGCATTTGAATGCGGTGGGCACGGATTTGTGGTCCCTGGAGCTGCAGGACGGCATACTACGGGCGGTTCGTTTGTGGCGTGGCACGCATGGGTAAGGGCTTACCCAGCGTGCTGTGGCGGTTGTTGGTCTTTGGAGGCGGTTCTCATCTTGGAAGGTAAAACAATGGTGTGGGACCCCATCCGTGGTATGGGGGGCCCGGTGGATATTCCCAGTTAACCAAGGTTTAACTGGAAGGTGGTGGTGCTGCACTGCGGACGGTATGGTTGTCTCCAAGCTGGTTGGTTGCGGCTGGAGGCCTAGTGTATAGGGTTGTCCGCAGGTGCATTTTGGATCGTTTGTGGGTGCCTTTGAAGACCAACAACAATTCTTTGGTTTCCGTTAAGGAACGGTTGATGTATGTTAAAATGTGAAGTTGTTAATAAAAGGCCATGTTGGCCATTTACTCCAAATGGTGTCATGTTTTTTGTAAAGTTTAGTTGGTTAAGGGGGTGTGGAGTGGTATGGATAGGTAATGGTGGAAGTAGGAGTGGACAAGCCTATCTATGGCAATATTTCCCAGTTGCAGAGATAAGATTTCATCTTTTACTCCATATAAGAAGTTTGCCTTGCATGCATAGAATAGTGGATGGGCATGCTGCTAGGGAAAGAACTCTGGAAACAAACTGATACTCTTTTTGTATTTTATTTTACAGACCATCTCCTATATGGCCTGTTAGTTCCAGTGCACTGCAGGCTGTCCCTTCCCCACGAGTGGAGAAACTTGCAGAGCCTAGGAGTGTTAATCAGTACTGGATGAAAGACCGATCTGTTTACAGTATTGTAAGTGCATGGTCTACTAGGACTTTTAAGAAATATTGGCTCAATTCACAAAGTTTTAGCACCAGATTAAGTATCTTTATTTTGAGTTGTGACTGTACATTTTAAATCTGTCAGCTGTAACCTGAAAATAACTGTCATTTTTAAAAACAAGGATCCTTATCCTGGTGTTTTTAGCTTTGCGACCCCTATATACAGGGCTGGATTTCTGTCACCAGATACTGTAGGTTCACAACTTTTGGCTTCATATGTAATATTCCTCTGCCAGGATTATATCATTTATTCAGGACATTTCCTTGTTTTCCAGGTCTTCCCCCCTACACAACCAGAGTCAAACAACCCTTAACCCCCAAATCCAATTTTGCAACTTTGACATTTGTTAGCATAAGTGTACATATCATCACAACTACTTTGTGTATCCAGGTGAATTATACCTTGTTTTTTGGCTTTCATTTGGTGGTAAATGTTAATGGATATCTCCTGATTTTGTGGTATTATTAAAGGAAAACTGGCCCAAAATGTCCTGGTAAGTGTAATTTTTTTTTTACATTTAGCAGTATATTTTTTGCCATTACCTTGACCTACCACCATAAAAATGCTAAATTAATTCTCCTACTCCTGACAATTTTGATATGTGTGCGCTCTTTGTACCCATAGTAGAGCCGAGACACAATAATACACATTTTGTTTTTTGGTTTTTTTTTAGCCTACCTAAACACATAGACACTAACACTTGCACTGGCACCACATGTAAAATCTTTTTTTGTTACCTAAAATACACCAACCCTAACACTGCCACTAACTGAAACTAGCCCTGCCACTGACACTAACTGACACTGACAATAACACTGACACTAACTGACATTAACACTAACTGCCACTAACATTCACTGATGTAGATTAAGCCCCCTTGCTAGAGGCAAAGTCTGTTGTTTCTCCTCATTGTAGAGGAGAAACTATATAGGGGTGTGCTACAGAATTAATAATAACTGTGATAGCCAATGGCAGGCTATCACAGCGATCATGTGATTGAAACCTGTTCTTCCAGTTCCCAATCAGTAGTATGAGACTCAGAGCTGTCACTGACACCTTGGTCTCAGCATTGGGAGCACGTAATTGAGTGTGATTCCAGCACAAACAGAGGAATACATACATGCGGCACACAGGAATAAAGCCTACTTCTTGGATACACATATATGTATGTGTTATGTGGTCACGAAGGGATTAACATATTGTGATAATGTGTAAATAATCTTACATAAAATGACTATTCTAACTAATGGTGAAAACTAATATGTGATCAATATAGTGAAAATCTGCCTCTTTGCCTCTGCTGGCTATAGGCATAATAGGAAATCCAACCATGCTTACATGTTATATTGTGAATTTAGAATAATCATGTGCAACCAATGGTGATTCCATGTTTGTTGCAGATAACTGAAGGAGCTAAGAGAACATCTGCTAGTCCACGCATTGTGCAGCTAGCCAAGCCAAAGAGGCATACAGACAATGGGATGACCAGCAGACCAGAGAGTCATCAAGATGAAGAAAAAGAAAAAGAGAGTCCCAGATCTAATAAATCAGTGACTGCTTCAGCTAGAACAGAAGAGCTAGCAGGTAATACATTTATTAACACAGTATATATATATATATATATATATATATATATATATACTGATAACAGCAATAACTGGCCCATAGAATTCATGTTCCTTTTCCAAAACACACATTTATTTACATGCGTTATTTATTAAATAAAACCCACTGCAAGGGTCCAATGCTTTTTTAGGTCTAGAGGGCTGCAGGAAGCAGTTTTTCTTACCCAATCCTCTGCTTCTCCAGCAGATTGTGTTCTCTTCTATTCCCCTACACTCTGGCAGTGGGCTGTCTCTCAGTGTCCTCACAACCAATGCAGGTTTATAGGCATACTGCTGGTCCCTATGTTCTAATTACATATGTCGGGAGCTTGAGGGGAGGTGGAACACTTGGAAGATTTTGGAAGATATCAGAGAACGGAGAATCTTTTGGATATATTAGATATGTGTGTTTATAACCACAGTTAGGTAAGGTGCATGACCTAAAGGGAACGGTGCGGAGTACAGATGATGATTGGAACTTGCACATATGGTGATATGATTATTTATTTCATGTGAGTGGCACTTCAAAGGCGAGTTGGTGAATGTTAAAGGCATATTACACTATCTACGTTTTTTTCCTTTTTGGGGAGCAAAATCTTGGAAGAAGAGGATACTAATATGTTGTGAGGAGACATACATATATAGAAAAACATTGAGGTGAAGAATTTTTTTATTGAGAGAAAGAGTACATAGTAAAGAAGGCATATCGTTTGTGATAATACGTGGTGATGGATTTTTGGCACATTTTTTCATTTTTGATGAGAGCACCGTAGTTTATTGTATATTTATAGAAGTGTTGAACGTACTACACTATATGTTTTTTTTTTTTTTTTTTTGGTGTAATTTGGGAGTGTATGCAGCAGATGAGACAAAGAGAATGAAGAGTTGGAGATAACATACAAGGCTGTATTACATCAAGCATCTGGTGAGAGCATAAGAAGACTATTACTATTACTTACATATGGACTGTTAAAAGGACTTGAGGAGACTATTGAGCACAGAAATTTTGTATAAATAGGTTTTTACATCTGCCTATAAACCTATTGGGGAGATCTCCACATCTTGTGTGGAAACCAGGGCAGAAAATTAGTAGAAATACCTCCAAGGGGGGCCACTGAGAGAAAAAAACACCTTTCAATGTATTGGGAAAGCGTTAGCCCCAAATGAGAGGTTTCCACTTACTTCTTATCACTGTAACCAACAATGAGTGAGTTTACCCCAGTGGGTGCACATTTATTGATGGAAAATGTGTATATTTGTCCAGTGGTGTATTTAGGTTTTGTGCTGCCCTAGGCAACACAAAAATTGGCGCCCCCCACCGCAGAAAGTGGCTGACATTGACCAAGAACACCCCTGCCCTCCACCCTAGCCTTCCACTACCACTGCCCCCATACAGCAGTCACCATACCCTATGGTGAGAGAGAGAAAGACACTCACATTCACAGCTCCGGACATTCCCAGGAATGAGAGTCAGGCTGTGCATACACCGTCATGAAACCCACAGCATGGAAACCAGGTCCCCCTGAAAAATGCCGCCCTAGGCAAATGCCTTGTTTGCGTTGTGGTAAATACACCCCTGTATTTGTCATTTCATGTGTATGGATAGAAGCCTGCAGTACAATATGGCCAACTGTGTGAACAATTGGTGCCCCAGCTCATAAAAAATAAAAACTCTTCTTTCTTCTCAGTTTGTTTTTTTATATTTCAATGGTTTTTATTAATTTTTAAACAGTATAAAACAGAGGTAACAAAACACGCCCAGCAGGGCTATCAATAGCACAGATAAAAAATGCAAAAACGCCAAGAAAAAATGCCACGCAGGGGCTATCTAACGCTCTGAACTAACAACTAAAGGCAGCTGTCTACTGTCACACCAAAAAAAACAGAGAAATGTAAGAAAGGAAAAAAAAACAAAACACCACAAAAAAAAAAAACAAAGAGCAGGGGTCCAAGATCGCCAATACCGAATGCCATTACATCCCAGACTAGCCGGGGGGAGCATGGAAAAGGCATACTGCAACCACGGCTCCCATATTTTCAAAGATTTACGTTGGGAGTCGTTGCAGATACTCGACATCTGTTCGTTGAGCATCACAGTGATCATACGATCTGGAACCCCCTGAAGAGGGACAAACGGACTCTTCCAGGCCTGAGCAATTGTTCTAGTAGCCGATAAAAAACAAATAGGAAGCCAAAATCTGCTTGTGAGCCAAGAGGTATGGGGCAATGAAGCAAGGCATACCGAGCATCCCGGCGTATAGAGGGATGGAACAAGGTGAAAAGGAGGCCAAACACACGAGACCAAAAACGAAACAGTCTCGGGCATGACCACCAGATATGCAATACATCTCCACAATGGCCACAACCCCGAAAGCATCAATCACTACAGGCAGGGTTAGCCTGGGCCAAACGAGCCGGAACCCAATACCAACAAAACAATACCTTATAGGCTGCCTCCAGCGTGGTCGTATTAAATGAGCATTTAGCTATGAGTGACCAGGCCTTATTCCAGTCCTCCGGATCCACAGCCACTCCCAGGTCGCGCTCCCACTGAACAACATATGAAAGAGAAGTATGTGATGAGCGTCTGTTCAGAGCTGCATAAAGAAGGGATATAAGGCCCGGGGCGCCTGGACGCTGCTGGCAAAGCTGTTCAAAGGCAGATTTCTGGTACGGGAAAGCAGAAGTGCCCTGCAGCGAGAGCAGCCAGTGCCGCAATTGAAGGTATCGAACTAATTCCGCTGGGGGGACATCCCGGGACTCCCGAAGAGAATTCCAGGTGGGGAAGGACCGAAAAATCAAAAAGTGTCGCACCTGCAAAAAAACATTAGTCACCCACCAAGAAAACGCCCTTGGGTGATCTTAACCTGGTGGGAAAAGAGGGGTTGTTAATAATTGGGAGCAAAGGCAGAAAAGGTGATGTCAGGACACTGGAGTAACGTACCGAGTCCCAGACTTGTAAGCCATGGAGCAACATTGGACTCAGTGCCATAGAACGCAGGGCAGGGGAAGCCATAGAAGTGTCGACGTTGCGATAGGGGCACAATTAGGTAGTTCCAGCAGGACCCAGAGAGGAACATCAGAGGAAGCGTGCAACATAGACAGCGGGGCAATCTGGCTCGCCTGATAATACTTATTTACATTAGGCACCCCAAGACCACCCCTGGAGTCTATGAGCAAAGAGCGTATTTCTGGAGACTCTGGGGTGCTTATCGGCCCAGATAAAACGCATAAACTTTGCCTGAAGCAACTGAAGAAAATGAGGGGGAACCCGCACTGGGGAGGGTGCGAAAATAATATAACAATTTCGGCAAGATGGTCATTTTCACCGAATTAACCCGTCCTATCCAAGACAGGTGTGGAAATTGCCAAGAATGCATAAGAGAAGATAGAGTGCTAAGCAATGGATAATAATTTGCAGCAAACAGGGAGTCATAGGTGGGGGTCAAGCGAATGCCTAAGTATTCAAGAGAAGAGGAAGCCCATTTGTAAGGGAAGTGGGATTGTAGGCACGAAACCAAATCTGAAGCCAAAGTAATATTGAGAGCGACAGTCTTATCCAAGTTAATACGGAGACCCGAAATCAAGGAGAAGCGCTCAAGAACTTGTTGCAAATTAGGAAGCGTCGTCAAGGGATTAGTAAGAGTCAAGAGAGCATCGTCTGTAAAAAGATTCAGCTTGAACTCCTGTTCCGCGTATGGAACACCCGATACATTGCAATCGGTCCGGAGCGCTAAAGCCAGTGGATCAAGCGCCAGGACTAAGAGCGCCGGGGACAGGGGGCAACCCTGTCTTGTCCCTCGCCCAATAGGAAAGGGATCCGAGAAATACCCAGCGTATTTAACGGAGGCCGAAGGAGAAGAATACAAGGCTTGAATCCAAGAAAGAATAGAATTCCCAAAACCCTAACGAGACAGCACAAACCGCAGATATTCCCAGGATAGAGAATCAACGGCTTTATATATGTCTAAGGACAGTAAGGACTGTTGCAGAAAATGTATAAGATGGACCACCTTACGAATGTTATCACCCTACTTGGTCCCTGTGGACCAGGCTACGCAAATATTTATTGATGCGAAAACTAAAGATCTTGCCCAATATCTTCAGGTCTTCATTAAGAAGAGAAATGGGCCAGAAGGCTTGCGGTTCCTGTACATCATCAGTCGTCTTAGGAATCATGGAGATATGTGCTCTAAATGCGTATGGAGAGGGCAAGGAGCCCCGTCGTAAACTCATTAAAATAGTCAGCCAAAAAGGGCGCCAACAGGGCCGAAAATTTCTTATAATAGGGACCGGAGAAAGCCGTTGGGACCTGGGGCCCGCGATGGAACGTAAAGATTTGATAGCTTGGAGCACTTCCGGTACGGTGACACCGGCGTTGAGGGCCACCTGTGCTGCCTCGGATAACCCAGGAAGTCGGAGATCTTGAAAGAATGCCTCTGCTTGAGCCACAGGGAAGGGATCTGGTTTAGCGTAGAGGAGCGAAAGGAAGTCTGAGAAACAGGAAACAATCTGCTGGGGATTAGAAGTACAGCCACCTGTGGGAAGTCGCAGTCAGATCGGTTTATGGGGTTTCCACACAGAATTGAGTTTCCTAGCCAGCATCGGGCCCGGCTTATTAGCACAGGAATAAAATTTGTGTTTTGGTCCAAAGCAGGGCCCGTTCTGCCTCTGAAGAGGCAAGTAGGTCCAACTCTGCCGCCAGAGCGTCCCGAGCGTGTTTATGGGCCGCGGATGTAGATGACTTCCAACGTGCATCCGCAGAGGCCAGGAGAGAATGAAGCTCCAAAAGTCTGCGCTCCTGGACTGCCGCCAGCTGTCAGTTTGTTATTTTTTTTTAATCTAGTACAAGGTGGACATAAAGAAGCAGAGAAATATGCTATGTATATAATAGGAATTTAGAGGAGGGCATTCAACATGGGAGAAGGTATGGGCACATTATGGAGTTGCAGTATACAACTGCAAATGTATTTAAGCATCTGAGTTAGGAGAAAGACTAAACATATCTATGGGAGAAAGCTGGAAGTCACCACTGCATTTTCTAGTCAAAGGTACCTAAATTATACCTCCCAACATTCCTGGATCAGGTTGGACTTTCCCACATTTTCACCTTTGTCCCACGGTCCCGGTGTGCGGGGGGTTTTGCCCCACATTACTATATCTATTCTTTATATGATAACTTCCAGCTGAGCAAGACCTGCAGCAGTGTGAACAGTGTGAACATTTAGCACAGCCAGGGATTGGCGGGCAGGCCAGTGGGGCTTGCAGTCACAATGAGAGAGAGCATGCAGCTGTCAACTCCAACCTGTGATATCGGGGTAATATGCATTTCAGGGGCTCCGCCCCTTTTCAAGCAAGCACTGCATAGACAAACAGCCGGCATTTATCAATTGCTGGCCAGGGAAGACAGTGACAATAGGCAGGACCAATTGGAACTACTGCATGTGCACCTGCAGCGGTGTATAATAAACCTGTATTATACACCAACTGGAACTATGTTTTCCCACTACTTTTTTCCACTTTTTCCTTGTTGGCACTGTAAAAATGCCGGCTGTTTCCCTATGAACGGGTTGTTTAAAAGGGGGCAGAGCTCCTGAAATGCATATTGTTCCTGCCCCTTCCCAACATCATAGGTTGGACTTGACAGCTGCCATACCCCCGCCAGCTTGTTCACCAATCCCTGGCTGTGCTAGATATTCACACTGCTACAGGTCCTGCTAGGTTGCACTCATTTATTATCCATCTGATGCCTGCATTCTTGCCTCGGCTTATGTATGCTGTTAATCAAGATTTTAGAGCGTAAGCGTATGTTTAATTGGTGTCTTTGCGGTTTAACTAACTTCTGAACCTTTCACTCTGTACGTAACGCATTCCTGAATCCTGCATTCTGTATGAAATGCACTCCTGAATCCTGCACCCTGTATGCAATGCATCCCTGAATCCTGTACTCTGTATGAAACGCACTCCTGAATCCTGCACTCTCCGTATGAAATGCACTCCTGAATCCTGCACTCTGTATGAAATGCATTCCTGAACCTTGCACTCTGCACGTAACGCATCCCTGAATCCTGCACTCTGTAAGAAATTAATTCCTGAATCCTTCCATGCTTTATGTAACACACTCTTCCACAATTTGTGCAAAACCATTTGTAATGGAAGCTTTTTATTCTTTTTTTTAAATGATTGTGCTGGGGTTTGTGTCCATGAGACTCTTGCTTGTGGCACAGCAATCAAAGCATATTTTATAGGTACAAGGAAGCCTAGGTTTGTTTAACCACGCCCCTTAAGCACCTCCCACCATCATTTTGCCACACCCATATTGCCATGGCGTGCTACGCATACCACAGGTCACTTCCTCCCTCAAGTGTCACTCATTCTGAGGTTCAAAAGTTGGGAGGTATGCCTAAATAGCCATAAAATGGTCCTTGCTCAAACCCCATGGCAGAAAATTCAACACCCTAACATTCTTTTATGAAAAACTAATTTTATACTAGTAATAAAGCCTGATCCCCTTCACTGGTTTTCAGCTTTTAAGTCCATATAGTTTTGATATTGCCACCAGTATATTAAAAATAAAGAAATATTATATATATACCGTATTTTTCGCTCCATAAGACGCACTTTTTTCCCCCCAAAAAAGGGGGGAAAATGTCAGTGCGTCTTATGGAGCGAATATAAAGCGGCCGGTCCGGTATTTCTGCCGCCACCATGTCAGAATACCGGGCCGGCCGCTCAGCTGTTCTCTCCTGCAGGGCCTTACCTGTTCCTCGCTCCAGCGCTGCACAGTCTTCCCGCGCTGGTTTCTGTGACAGCCGGGTGCCCACTGCGCATGTGCTGCGCTTTGTGAATGATCCGGTGTCTTCTGGGACACATGACCGGTCCCAGAAGGCGCCGGGCCATTCACAAAGCGCAGCGCTTCTCCCGCATGCGCAGTGGGCACCCAGTTGTCACATTAGCCGGCCCGGGAAGAAGGAAGGAAGGACAAACTCCGCGGAAGTGGGAGCGGGTACCTGTCAAATTCAGGTACCCGCTCCCCCTCCCTCCCCAAAGGTCAGCAGTCTCTGGTCATTCCCTGCACTGTGTCCGCAGTCTCTGGTCATTCCCTGCACTGTGTCCGCAGTCTCTGGTCATTCCCTGCACTGTCTGCAGTCTCTGGTCATTCCCTGCACTGTCTGCAGTCTCTGGTCATTCCCTGCACTGTCTGCAGTCTCTGGTCATTCCCTGCACTGTTTGCAGTCTCTGGTCATCCCCTGTACTGTCTGCAGTCTCTGGTCATCCCCTGCACTGTGTCCGCAGTCTCTGGTCATCCCCTGCACTGGGTCCGCAGTCTCTGGTCATCCCCTGCACTGTGTCCGCAGTCTCTGGTCATCTCCTGTACTGTGTCCGTAGTCTCTGGTCATCCCCTGTACTATGTCCGCAGTCTCTGGTCATTCCCTGCACTGTCTGCAGTCTCTGGTCATCTCCTGTACTGTGTCCGCAGTCTCTGCTCATCTCCTGTACTGTGTCCGCAGTCTCTGGTCATCTCCTGTACTATGTCCGCAGTCTCTGGTCATCTCCTGTACTGTGTCCGCAGTCTCTGGTCATCTCCTGTACTGTGTCCACAGTCTCTGGTCATTCCCTGCACTATGTCCGCAGTCTCTGGTCATCTCCTGTACTGTGTCCGCAGTCTCTGGTCATCTCCTGTACTGTGTCCGCAGTCTCTGGTCATCTCCTGTACTGTGTCCGCAGTCTCTGGTCATCTCCTGTACTGTGTCCGCAGTCTCTGGTCATCTCCTGTACTGTGTCCGCAGTCTCTGGTCATCTCCTGTACTGTCTGCAGTCTCTGGTCATCTCCTGTACTATGTCCGCAGTCTCTGGTCATCTCCTGTACTATGTCCGCAGTCTCTGGTCATCTCCTGTGCTGTGTCCGCAGTCTCTGGTCATCCCCTGTACTGTGTCTGCAGTCCATTGGTTCAGAATATTTTTTTTTTCTTGTTTTTCCCCCTCTAAAACCTAGGTGCGTCTTATGGTCAGGTGCGTCTTATGGAGCGAAAAATACGGTAAAATATACAGTATATTATATATTTATTATTATTATTATACAGGATATATATAGCGCCAACAGTTTGCTCAGCGCTTTACAATATAACGGGAGACAATACAGCAACAATACAGTTCAATACAAGAGGGATAGGAGGGCCCTGCTCCTTGGAGCTTACAATCTAAGATTATTATTATTATACAGGATTTATATAGCGCCAACAGTTTGCTCAGCGCTTTACAATATAATGGGAGGCAATACAGCAACAATGCAGTTCAATACAAGAGGGTTAGGAGCGTCCTGCTCCTTGGAGACTTATAATTATAAGCTTATAAGATATATAATCTAAGAGAATGTAATATATGTACAGTAAATATAAAATATATAGAAATATATTGTATTAATAGTTGGCAAATTTTGTGAGTTTTTATTGTAGAATTGAACATAAGGTAATTTTAATTAACCATACAGTACAGGACACAGGCTTCTTTAAAGCGTAACTAAAGGGAGGATACTCATCTTCCCAACACTCCCTCGCTGGCACCAACATTTTCTCCTGTGTGTCATGTTTTATCCATCTTCAATGGTTGGTGTGATCATTTCATTGTACAGTCCAGGGATCACTCTGAGCAGGTGGGTAGGTAGGATTTAATGCAGAAGGGGCATTGCATGCCTCTTCTGCAACAAAATGCCTGCCTGCTCACAGTGTATCTTAGCAGAACTTTAGTTCCACTTTACGTCTTGACCATGGGTTGTATGCTGCTACCTACAGGTGAAGAAACTGGCAAACAAAGTTGTTAGGACAGTCAATATAACTGCTCCCACTCCAAGAAATTCTTGCATTTTGCTACTGTCCTTATGTGATAAATGACCTATATGGCCTATAATTTAGAAAGTACTGGAAGATTGCAGACTTCACAGCCATTGCATAGCATGCAGCTGTATGTTCTGCATAACAGGGTGATTTTTGTGCATGTCCTGAGACACATTGGGGTGCACAATGGCCTGTTCTATGTGTATAGTCCCACCCTATGAAGGAGGCACACAGCCTAAGGAGGCTTATGCCTTGAAGGATAGGACTTCTCTTGTTAAGGCTCACTAAACTCACTCAGGCAGTGCATCTTGGCCTTTTTTTTTCATCAGCAGGCGTCTGTTTCTCAAATTTGCAAGGCCACCACCTGATCCTCTGTTTACATGTATTTGAAGTTCTGTCAAATAGGCCTTTGTGTAGGCCTTTGTGACCCCAGCTTCGTCCATAAAGTGGTTCATGCCACTCTTTGAGTTGGAAGCATGGTTCCCTTTGTTTGGGCCTGTTGGCTTTGTTTGCTGGGTTGCCCACCCCTCAGTTTTATTGCTTGGGGACAAGACTTCCCATGGTCAAGACTTAAAGAAGCCTTAAAAAATAAAAATGCAATTCTTAAAAAAATAGGGTTTTTTGACTTACCTGTAAAATACTTTTCTTGAAGTACAGTACAGAACAGAGGTCCCCCTCACCACTGTCAGGGGGAGGCTACTAGAAGGAGAATAGATAGTATGCTACACTTATGCTGTCTTGCTGCATATAGAATACCTGCAGCGTACAGGCATATGCAACAAATGAATAACGTTTTTTTTTTTTTTGCATTTGCTTGCTTGCATGCTGTACTGTTTGCGATAATATCACTGTATACATGAGTACAGCCATTCGTGTCAATGACAGGCTGTACTCTGCACCAGGGCTGCCTGGGTGGACAAAATACACCAGCAGTTGCGTTGAATGGGCTCAGGCGCCTGTGTGCAAGAATCCCTTATATTATTGTTCTAGTACATTTTTTTAATGCAATAATATAGAACTTTTGTAGATTATCAGATAGAGTGAGCTCTGGTTTGGATTCAGCTTCTCTACTCAGGGTGGACTGACCTTTTGGGACTCGGGTACTGCTTGAGGCCCCAGGGTCAGTAGGGGACCCCGTGATAGGCTCAGTCCGCCCCTGGTGTTACCCACAGCTTATTTTGTAGAAAAGTGGAGGTTTACGGTGGGAGGATGCAGCAAATCATGACATCCCTGCTGGCAGCTGTTGCAGAGCTTGGAGAAGACTCAGCGGGACTCGAGCTGACCAGGATGAGAGAGGAATGGTGGAGCATTGGGATGAGGGCAGCAGCAGCCGCTGTGGTTACATCTCCCCATGGGGAGTTCAGTGGAGGGGCGGGGCCAAACGGCCCCGTGGGGAACAGCAAGTTGGACCAGCCTTTCTCAACCAGGGTGCCTTGAGGTTTCTTCAGGGGTGCCTTGGCAAGATGTCTAAAAATTGCCCAAAACTTGTATACAAGCCAGCAGATGGAGCAAGCCACAGGTTTTCATTGTGCACTATTACAACCTACTATGCACCGGCATCTTGACAACAAATGACATCATCAGTTGATAAGGAGGATGTCAGCTACCTGCACAGCAACCTAATTTGAACCTCCCCTTCCCCTCTCCATCAGTGCTGGGGTCCCATGAGCTCAGTGATGGAGAAAAACTGAGAGAGAAGAGAAACACTGGAATACCAGCGTGCAAAAGTATATTTGCTTTGGAAGAAAAAAAATCACCTCTAATGTTGGGAGTCCCATACGTGTGGATGTTGCTGCATTATATAAAACTATTAGAATAGTTTTTCACATTTTAGAATGGTTTGCCCTTTTAAAATTATGGAAAGCCTACAGGCACCCCATTTTAGAATGGGGTGCCTCAAGACTGTCCATATTTTAAAGGGTGCCTCAGGACTGTCTATAATTCTAAAGGGTGCCTTAACCGAAAAAAGGTTGAGAAACACTGAGTTGGACTTGGTGCTGAAGAGGGCTGGAGCCTGCAGGAGTCCGAGTGCACTGCGGAGTGAACTCGGAGGCAACCAGTAGCAACCTGCCTTGTGTGCAGCAGGTTAGTGATCGCCAGCCCAGAAACTTAGTGTGTGCACTCTGTGTACCCCAGACTCTCCTCTTCTGCACCCCCATTTCTCTCGACCCCCCTCTCTCTCTCTTCATTGGCTCACAGGCTGTGATTTACAGCAGTGGGAACCAGTGGCCAATGAGGAGGGAGAGTCCTTGGAGAGCCAAGACTCTCATGCACATCGCTGGATCACGATGGGGCTCAGATAAGTAGCAAGAGGGCAGCTGCACACAGAAGGTGCATAGAATGCATGAGGGTAAAAAACCTTGAGCCTTTACAACCATGTTTATTTTTCTTTATTTTCTTAACTTATTAAACATCTTTTTTAACATAGTGTAGAAAAATTCTGTGATGAACACGCGTCATGTGGGTAGTTTAATATGTGGCTGGGGCTTTGTGTGGGTGTGGCATGAGTGTGGGTTGGGACACAGAAGGCCCTATGATCTCCTATTGCCCAGTGGCCCCATGAGTTGTCAGTCCGCCCCTGTTCTCTACCTAAAAACCTTTAAGTTAAAACATTAGCCATAAACATTACCAAGCACAAATAATAGTATACTATATTAATCTCTTTTACATATACAGTATATCTAAGAAAGCATTGAAAGATTACACATTACCTTTAATTGCTTCAATGAAAAAGAAAGACTAGTCATGAAGTACTATTATAACATTTTGTACCACTAGGCATCTATATGGGTGAAATCAATCATACATCAGCGTTCTCCTTGTATGCAGACTCAATGAAGCCAACCTTAACCTAAGTACAGCGTATGGGGATACACGAGTATGTAATGTATAGAATACAGGGATCAAGAAAGGGTAACACACAGAGTGCAGTGGTCAGGTGTGTGTAATGTACAAAGTGCAAGGGTCTGGAATATATATTGTACATAGTGTAGGGGCCAGGTGTATGTGATGTACAAGTGTAGGGGTAAGGAGTATGTAATGTGCATAGTGTAGGGGTCAGGTGTATGTAATGTACATAATGCAGTGGTCAGGTGTATGTAATGTACAAAGTGTAGGGTTTAGGAGAGGGTAATGCACAAAGTTCAGGGGTCAGGTAATATTTAATGTGTGCAGGGGTCAGAAATATATACAGTACAGTCAAACTCACAGAAACCCACACACATATAGTATACAAATACTGTACACACACACTCACACAAAATCCCTTACCCCTCTCGCAACATAGCTGGCTGGCACCTCCGCTGTGCATACTGGCAGGAAGATATGAGGGTGCTTAGGAGGAGTGGCATGTAGGGCTGTGCCATAAGGTCACCCAGCAACATATTGGAAGGTGCAGGCAAAAGGTTACAGAGAAACATGTGCAGCAGCGGTTTTGAGACCCAAGGCACCAGGTAAGAGATGTAGGGCACATGCTCTGAGTGTCCAGCCTTCTATACTGTCGATGCTCTGGGGGTTTTGAACCCCCTTATGCCCACTGTATTTATGCCCCACATACTTGGTCATTGACCGCTCAGGCACAAAGTTTTGTCACATGCAGACAGAGAGAGAATCCTCAAACCTGTATAAGCACCAAGTTGCTGAACAAAGCAGCATGGGAGCAGAAGGGAAGTAAGTACTGTATATGCAACTTCTTGAGCTGCTAATAAAGTGAACAGGTAGCTTTACCCTGCTTGGGCAAAGCACAGTTTCATTGAGCATCATCGTTTTTATACCTACTGAAACCTATTTAGGTGTCTGTTAACTGCTTGCCTACAGGGCACTTATACCCCCTTCCTGCCCAGGCCAATTTCCAGCTTTCTGCGCTGTCACACTTTGACAATTGCGCGATCATGCAAACACTGTACCCATATGAAATTTTTATCATTTTTTGTGACAGATAGAGCTTTATTTTGGTGGTATTTAATCACCTCTGGTTTTTTTTTATTTTTTCTTAAACAAACCAAAAACTGCTGAAAATTTTGAGAAAAAAAAACTTTTTTTCTTAGTTTTTGTTGTAAAATTTTGTAAATAAGTGATTTTTCTCCTTCACTGATGTGTGCTAATGAGGCTGCAGTGATGGGTACTGATAGGCTGCAGTAATGGACAATTATAGGTGGCACTGATGGGCACTGATGAGGAGGCACTGGTAGGTGGCACTGATAGGCATTGACAGGCATCACTGATGGGCACTGAAAAGCAGCACTGATAGGCGGCACTGACTGGCACTGTTGGGTGGGCACTGACTGGCACTGATAGGCGGCACTGACGGGCACTGATAGGCGGCACTGATGCACACTGATAGGCGGCACTGACTGGCACTGACAGGCAGCACTGATGGCACTTCTGGGGCCACACTGATCATCAGGGCACACTGATCATCAGTGCCCTGATGATCAGTGTACATGTCCCCTCCGCAGAATGCCGATTACCGACTCTCCTCCCGAGCTGTCAGCGTGACAGCTCGTGAGAAGAGAAGTGCTGATAACCGGCATTTCCCTTTACATGTGATCAGCTGTGATTGGACACAGCTGATCACATGACCGAGCCGACATCTTCGGCTCTTTCCGTAGATCAGTGATCCCTGAGCCGCGCATGAGCGGTGAGAGAATGGGAGGACATCATATGACGTCCTCCCAGAATGACAGAACCACCTTGCGCCTGTCATTGGACTATATGGCGGGCGGGAGGTGGTTAAGAAAGAGAGAAAAGCTGAGATCCTGAGGATCACAGCTGATCTCTCAGGTGTGCCAGTTTATGAAGCTGAGGTGAGGAGCGGAGAACATTTTCTTCACTTCTCATCACAGGATACACCCTTCTGTCATTCACTTTTACGGAGATGGCAGTGAGATCTGAAGATCTCACTGGCCATCTCTTTAAAATATCTGGAGCTGGAGAATCTTGGTGAGAAGCTGCTGTGATGTGAGGGAGAAGGCTTCTTTCTTCCTAATATCAGCACCAGCGGGTTAAACATTGATATAAATTATAACTATGTTTATGTATGTATATATGTTTTGTGTACAGTGTATATCTATATATATATATATATATATATATATATATATATATATGTATGTACACCCACACACATGCATACAGTATAGTTATAATGTATTGTTGTTTGGGACGAATTCATATCTGAGCAATGCAGAATTGTTGGCAGAATTGCACGATTCTTACCGCAATTCCAAATTGTGCCAAAATTGGTGTAAAATATGCAGTGCGCTTTTGGGTGCCATTCATTGTTAATGGCACTCCAAATGCTGTTAGCAGACATGCATTTTGCCACACATTTAGTCATTTGACAAATACGCTATCAACACACCAAAATACGTATTGAAAAAACACACAACACGCTGGTGGGAGGAGCCTGGTCATGGCGGCTGTGGGGAGTGAGCAGCACTAGCCTTCGGCTAGGTACCGCTCCCCGACCTCCCTGGTGACCCTTAGGAGCCGACTCACCGGAGTCTGGAGGGCCGTGGAGTGGAGCCCGGAGAGCCGGAGATGGGAGCCAGACGAGGGTCGCAGTGACGGGCCGGCCTCTCCGGTCCTTGGTGAGAGAGGGACCCGGACGGCTGGAGAGCGGAGTGACGTGGCGGGGGTGTGTGACCCGGCCGCGGAGGCTCTCTGGGAGAGGAGAAAGCCGGCCGGCCCGCCTGATCTGACGGAGAGACGCCGGCTTACAGTTACCGGCTCTCTGATGCCCTCAACCCCCGGCTAACTACTGCCCATAATCCCCGGCTGGCTACTATCTGTAGCCCCCGGTCTATTGCTGCCTGGGGCCCCCGGCCAGCTGACTCTTTGATTCTGGGTCAGGGAGCCCGGGAGCGCCAGGAGACCCACCCTGCATCCCTGAGACGAAGCCCAGAGGAAAAAAAAAAAAAAAACCCAGGTACAGAGTTGGAAGCCCAGAGGAATCCCCCCAGGACAGAGCTGCTGTGAAGACCCTCCACCCAAGCTTGGAGCCACCATCCGGGAAGAGAAGGGTGAGTGAGACCTGCTGGGGGCCTATTGTATTGTATAGTGGACTCCTGATTGACAGTGGGGAACAAGGGGTTAAGGAGGAGAGGGGAGGATTCCCTGGGTTCAGAAGAGAAGAGACCCACGTTCCCCTAGGAGAGCACAAGTAAAACTCAGTAAACCTGTCTGGATTACAAACCATAGAGGAGAGGTATAACCCCATCTAGAGAATATAGAAGACAAAAGACTTATAGAGGATATGAAGAATAAAGGTCCTAAGGGAGCAGGGCTCAAAGGGTCTCAATCAGGCACGATAAAGAAATTTACATCACATGGAAACATTACGCCAGAAAGGGCCCAAGGCGTAAGCGCCAAAGGGGAAATGGACACTAGCTCAGGAAACAGCCCGAGACTATCACTGGGTATGAACAGCAGTTGTAGCCAACAAATAGCGGATGGCTTGGGACAAAAAGAACTTGATGGTGAACTACAAATACCGAATAAGAAGGAGATGATAGAAATGTTCCAAAGTTTGGAGAAAACGATAAAACATGAAATGACAGTAATTCGGAACGATTTAGGGCATCTGCTAATGAGAATGGAAGAAACAGAGGAGAAAGTTAAAACCCAGGCCCAAACCATAGATAAGCTAAGGAAAAAAATCACCCATTTGGAGAAAACCCAGAAAAAACTGTTCTACAGGATGGAAATTCGAGAAAATAAAGAAAGAAGGTCTAACCCTTAGGGTGAGAGGAATTCCAGAGGCAGCAAAAGGGGAAACATTAAATGAACTAGTTAAAAAAAATCTAAACTCCATAAGAGACAGACCTGAAACAGAAGTGATTGAACTGGATGGAGTTTTCAGAATAGGAAAGTTCAAACAAGATACTGAGAGGGAAAGACCGAGAGATATTGTTGTACAGTTCCAGAAATTTGGGGTCAAAAATGAGATTTGGAAGAAGATCAAGGGAAGATCGTTAATTAAATATGGAGATTTGACTGTTCAAATTTTTGCGGATTTAACACCAGAGACTCTATGGAGAAGGAGATCCCTGAGACCCCTGTTAGAGCAAATGAGAAAACAGAACGTGCAATATAGATGGGGGGTACTTCAGCATCTCTAATTGGCTGGAAAAATGGGGGTAACAGCATACCTGAGATTCCCGGAGGAACTGAGAGATTTTTGTGATAGACTGGATCTGCAAAGAATGGAGATAACTGGGTGGGAAGAAGAAGAAGAAAAAGGAGACTCGGATGATACGGGAGGGGAGGATTGGCAGCGGGTCGGGGGGAGGGGGAGAGAGGCTCTGGGGTTGGGGAGAGGGGGGAGGGAGAAGTGAGCAAAAAAAACACGCTTTTCTTTTTCTCTCTCTTGTTCCCTTGCCCCCCTAGTACCCCCCTTTTTTGAGGTGGAAGTCCCTCTGGAGGCTCCGGTTGAGGTGGGGAAGTAAAGCATATAATGTGTGAATGGGTTGAATTGCCCTGGGAAAAGATTTAAGTTGTTTAAAGAGTTACATCAAAGGGCAATGTCAGTGGTATTTTTGCAGGAGACACATTTTGAGATAGAATCTAATGTGAAACTAAAATCCAAATATTATCCTACATGGTATTACGCTGACTCTCCAATTAAAAGAGCAAAGGGGGTGGCAAATGGATTGGCAAAAAATATGAGATTTGAGTTGGAAGATAGAATGACTGACCCGGAAGGGAGATTCCTGTTTTTGAAAGGTAAACTACAGGGAAATTGAATGCACACTAGCCAATATATATTGCCCCAACAAGAAACCTGAGATCTTTCTGAAGGGTTTGCTAAAAAAATTGATAGATTTTAAAAAAGGGCGTTTGATAATAGCAGGAGATTGAATCTCTGTATGGACCCACAAATGGATGCAACCTCCCTTGTGCAGAGAGAAGGGGGTAGGTCCCTGAGAGCTTTGAGGAAGGTGATCCACGAGTACCAGCTGGTGGACACCTGGAGAATAATGCACATGAAGGACAGAGACTATACCTTCTTCTCTAATGCACATGAGACATACTCGAGACTGGATTACATTCTAATAGATCATCAACTCATTGAAATGCTGGTTAAAAATAGAAATAGAGACAAGAACTCTTTCGGACCATGCCCCAGTCGTAATGAAAATGGGATGGGGAAAAAGGTGGACGGGAGGTATAGGATGGAGGTTAAATGAGGCTCTTCTCTTGGACGAGGCTATTGTGCAGAAGATCAGGGAAAGAGATTAAGGTATATTTCCAGGAGAATGAAACAGAGGAAGTATCGACAGCTACAGTATGGGAAAGTCATAAGGTATATATATAAGAGGAATCCTGATTGCGATGGGAGCAAGGAAGAAAAAAGAAAGAAGAGAGAGGGTTAGTGGACTCTTAAAGGAAATCCTGGAATTGGAGCAGATACACAAGAAGAAAAAATAACAATAGAAACAAGACAGAAGTTAAGGGATAAAAAAGACGAATTAGAGAGATTGATGGAAGAGGAGAGGAGAAGAGTATATAATAAAGTATTAAGTGAAAGATATAGATGGGGTGATAGACCAGGAAAATACTTAATGAGAGCCCTGAATAAGAAGAAGAACAGGAATTATATAGAAAAGATAAAAAGCCCTAAGGGGGAGATGGTCCACTCAACTAAAGAAATTATTAAAGTATTCACGGAGTATTATAGAAAGTTGTATAACATCAGCCACCAAGGATCACCAAAAGAAATTTAGGGAAGGTATTAATGAAAAAAGGAGGACATATTTAAAAAAATGCGGGGATTGCCAAAGCTTAGTGAAACACAACTGAACTCCTTGGATGCAGAAATTTCTCAGGAAGAAATAGAAGCAGCATTAAGAAGTACAGGGGGAGGGAAAAGCCCAGGCCCGGATGGTTATACAGTTAAGTACTATAAAAAATTTAGTGAAGTACTGTTACCAAAGTTAAGGAAATATATGAATGACTTGGGAGGTGGGATGGAGGGGAGGAGGGAATCCCTTCAGGCCCATGTAGTTCTCATCCATAAGGAGGGAAAAGATCCCTCTCAGTGCTCTAGCTACAGACCAATTTCATTATTAAACACTGATACTAAGTTGTACGCAAAGGTCCTAGCAAACAGGCTGAAAGATCTAATGCCCGAATGGATTCATGGAGACCAGGTGGGCTTTGTTCAGGGGAGAGAGGGTAGAGATAATGGCTTGAGAACTCTGATGCTTATCCAGAAAAGTAGAAAAGGGAAAGCCCCGGTAGTGCTCTTGTCAATTGATGCCGAAAAGGCGTTTGATAGAGTAGACTGGGGCTTTATGATTGACAACTTGGAAGTGTTGGGGATTGGAGAGAGAAATGCGTGAATGGATAGGTAAACTATATAAGGAGCCCACCGCAATCATCACGGTAAATGGGGAAAGGTCGGAATCCATTGGGATGTCCAATGGAACAAGGCAAGGATGCCCATTGTCCCCCTTGCTGTATGTATTGACATTGGAACCCCTGCTATCAATAATAAGGAACAGTGGAGCGGTAAAGGGAATCCAGATAGAAAAAATAGAACATAAAGTAGCGGCCTTTGCGGGCGACCTACTGTTTTATGTAGGCAACCCCCGAATAACACTACCAAATATAATGAAGATCCTGAAGGAATATGGTGAACTATCTAATCTAAAAATTAACCCAACAAAAACTGAGATTTTGAACATTAATATACCAAAGAGCAAAAAAGAAAAGCTACAAAAAGAATTCCCCTTTATTTGGAGAGAAAAAGATATAAAAATACCTAGGAATAAAACTTGCTACCTCATATAAACAACTGTATAGATTAAATTTATATTTCTCTGATAAATGAGATTAAGGACGAACTAAAAAGATTAGAAGGAGGAAATCCATCATGGTTAGGACGTATGAACCTAATTAAAATGGTAATTATACCTAAAATACTCTATAGATTTCAAATGATCCCGATCAAACTCCAGAGGCGTTTTTTAAGATAATGAGAAAAATGTTAACAAGATATATATGGAGGAATAAAAAACCAAGAGTATCATATGAAACACTAAGTAGGACTAAAGAGAAAGGGGGGATGGGACTACCTGATGTCAAGAGATATTACAAAGCAGTAATGTTAGCAAGAATTTATGACTGGACTTTTAATCATAAGGGGAAAAGTTGGGTAAAAATGGAAAATGATCTGAGTGGAATTAATTTGAGTAGGATGATATGGGTTCCAGCACACTATAGGAGAATTAAAGAGGGCACAAACACTTACACCTTAATTGTCTTAAGGATATGGGATAATTTACATAAACACATGAAATGGGAATTCAACTCTATATTAATGCCTCTTGCAAACACAGAGTTTTTCCCCCAGGAAAAGATGAGATATCAGGGAGATGGTTTAAAAAGGAAGATATCCAATTGAGAGACATATTGGTAGAGGGGGAACTGAGAACATTTAAAGAATTAAAAGAGATGGGAGGAGATATGTTTACTAAAATAGATGAGTGGAAATATCATCAATTAAAATGTTTTATAGGAACTCTCCCAAAACCCTTGAGATTAAAAACGGAGTTTAATATGTTTGAAAGGCTATTAGAAACACGTAGAGATGGAAACACGGTGTTACAAAAATGTATAGAATACTTACAGAACTAGACACAGACACAAAGTTAATTTTCATAACAAATTGGGAAAGAGATATGGGGGTGGGGATAGATGAAGATCAACAGAATAAGATATTTAGATTAGTTCACGAAAGGGTTAGTATGAGAGACGTTGAGATTAACTACAAATGTTTGACACGATGGCATATTACACCGAGCACTGAGCACAGGATGAGGGGGGAGAATTCAAAAATGTGTTGGAGAGGATGTGGGGAAGAGGGCACAGTGTTTCACATATGGTGGCAATGTCCAAAAACTCAGGTTTTCTGGAAGACAATAGTCAAATTAATAGAAATAATAACTGGAAATGACATAGGATTAGACCCAACCATGTGTCTCCTACATAGTGTTGAGACAACAGTAAATAAATATAAAGAATCAGGTGTATGGTACTACTTAAGTGCAGCAAAAGGGTTGATCCCCAAGTTTTGGCGGAAGACAGAGGTACCAATGGAGGAGGATTGGATCAATAGGGTAAACCAGATTAGCAGAATGGAAAAATCTTATCATATGCAGGAAGACAGGATGAAAATATACTATTCGCGATGGGAAAAATGGGAAAAATCGGGATTGAAAGAGAAATATAGAAAACTCTAAACTAGGAAGTTATTCGAAGTTATTGGGCCTAGAGAGACTGGAGATCTTGCAGAGGGGAGGGAGGGGGGGAAGGGGGGAAATGGTGGGTTGGGAGGGAAGGGAAATAAAAGAGGTAAATAGAAGGGACAGAGTAGAAATGTATTGATATTTATATGTATTGTGTCTCTTCTTATGGAAATTTTGAAAAAAAAAAAAAAACACACAACACTCCATACCAAAAAAAAGGTTCAGTTTGGCTTCTTGGAGCCTTTTTAATGCACAAGTTTTTAACAAACATTTTGCATTTTTTTCAACCCACATTTTTTTTTTAAATTGTTGAAATTTGTATGTGCATTTTGGTGCTTTTTAATGTATTGGCTCCTTTTTTACCTCAATTTTTGTGTGTGTTCTGGAAACGCATGCAAAATGCATGCCATGTTTGTGGTGCCATTATTTGTTAATGGCACCCAAAAGTGGCTAGCAGATGTGCAGTTTACCAAAATATGTATAAAAACCAAATCAAAATGCACTTTAAAAAAGTGCCAAAATACGTGCTAAGAAAAGTGCCAAAATGTGTTACAAACCACAGCAAAATGCATATTAAAATAACCTGTGCCAAAATGTTCACACCTATGCAGGTTGCGTTTGAGCCGTTTTTGCATTGTGTTTTGCGTTGCATTTTTGCACTTGCGTTATTGCTGTGTTATTTATGCATTTTGCGGTTTTTTAATTTTTTTAATTGTTCTTGTTGCTAGACAGATTTAGAATGCAAAAAGCAAAACGCCTCATAAACACAGCAAAAATGCAGCAAAAACGCAGCAAATATGCAATACATGCTTTTCTACAAGGTTTCCATTGAAGTTTATAGAACCAAAAATGCACCTTTTTGACCCTTTCCAAAAAAACGCACCAGATGAAAACGCACAGGTGTGAACATGTCCCATAGGAAATTATTTGAAATGGACTGAACTGCGTTTCTGAAAAATGCTGCAGAAAATGCTTAGGTGCGAACCTAGGGTAAATGTGTGTTTAGAAAAGTGCCAAAATGCACATAAAAAAAACCCACATCAAAATATGTGTTTAAAAAAAATACAGCATGTTAAAAAGTGGCAAACTGAATGTAAATAATGCTAAAATGTGCAATAAAAAGGAGCCAAAATACACATTTAAAGAATGTGCCAATATGTACGTTAAAAAATACCAGTGGTAAGTGCTTATTATTTTCATGTAATTGCATGATCTTTTTTTACTTTGGTGTCACTGTTTAAACTCAGGTGATCGGTAGTCACACAATTATTTCACGAGATCACATGCAGCCCTCCCCCTTCTACACAGATCTCAGCTGTTCTCAGAGAAAAAACTCCTCTCTTCTCCTTCTGAGAACAAATGTTCTCCACTTCATAAACAGGGGGACAGAGGAGATTTTGCCCTGAGAACTGCAGAGAACTGAAATGAGATAAATTATCTCTGCTTAACAAATGTACACCTCAGTTAGTAGAATACAATTCCTTGGTAAAAATATATATTTAAAAATTATACACTGTAATTTGTTGAAAAAAGCATTTTTTTTTTTCCAGTGCCTAAGGCAGAACACCCCCAGTACCATCATGATCTCTCAGTCATACGACATGTTTCTGCATCCTGCCCTTCAAGCTCAAGCCTCAGACAGAGTTTGCCAGCTTGCAAAACCAAAAACTCGAAAGTCTCTCTTTGAAGGATATGACCCCTACCGAATTTCAGCTGCAGCTAAGCATGCTGAGGCCTCTCCACGTATTGTTGAGCTCTGCACCCCCCCATCTCGCAGGCAACGTCAGAAGAAAATCTGAAACATGGCATTCACTCAAAAGCAGTTTACAGTTCTTGATTTCTATATGTAAGTTGCGTGTAAAATAGTGTGAAATAAAATTTGGCAAATTAGCAAAATTGGATGTCCACCTGAAAGTCTGGAAGTAAATTAGTGATACAGCACTTAAGTAATTAGGGAAGCACCATAGAAGAGAAAGAGACTGGAAAAGGTGTCCTGGAAAGTACAGAATTCTGACATGGGAATGGAAATTTACTATTGGAAAAAACACAGTAAAACATTGAAGGTGAGACTTTTTTTTGTAAATTACACTAAGGGGTAATTTTCACTTGCAAATGAGGGAGAAGGGGCAGTAAAAACTGCTGGTTGAGTCATCTTTTTTAGTGCTCTCCTTATGCAGCAATGGCATCCGAACAGGAGTGTACACATTAAACCACAGGAGTGAGCACTAGAGTAAATTATAAATGAGTTAAAGGAAGAAAACAGCAGCTGAACACCAAAAAGGCACCATATGAACCTCCAAAATAGTCAGAATAAAGCAGGGTGCAGCGCTACAATGATCCGTTAAATCATATGAACATATTGTATTCAAACATCCTCATATAAAATACAATAAAATGAAAATTCAATAACAAGGTGCAAATAGAAACGTCACCAATTGGTGACTAGTAGGTGTTTGGGCACAAAACCAAATACAGTCTATAGCGTGAGTACAAAAAGATCCCAGATGATCTTCAAAAATCCAATGGCTGGATCCGTGGGTGAGGTGATAGATGTGTAAAGATTGGGCACTCACCAGATACGCAATCACAATCACTGAGCTCAGACTAGCGGCTATTTCCAAATGTGGCAGCACTACCAAGCAGTGAGGGGTATTTGACCAGATCTGACCAGACCCACATAAGGATCCTTGATGTCCTGAGGCTATCTACTCTAAATGCGCATTGTGATTGCGTATCTGGTGAGTGCGCAATCTTTACACATCTATCACCTCACCCACGGATCCAGCCATTGGATTTTTTGAAGTTCATCTGGGATCTGCACCCTGCTTTATTCTGAGGAGTGTACACATGCCACATACAAAGTTATCCCTCCTATTGTGTTCAGCTGGTAGTACTACTGCTGAATGCAACCTGTTCAAGTAAATGAGGCACAGCACACAGCCCAATGTGGCAGCATTTACAGCGGGGGTCAGCAACCCATAGATCACAATCTACCAGTAGATCGCAGCCAGGTGGCTGGTAGTCTTGGCTTGCTGACCCAAACAGAGGGCAATGCAGAGGGTCTACTTGTATAGTTGGAGCTGTAGTAGGGAGCAAGAGCTGCATAAACTGATGCCTCCTCTGTAGAGCTGGTTCCTGTCCCATATGGAGTGATACCAACTGCACTCCACCTCTTATCCCGGTTAGAGGTCTCCAGAGTGGTGCCAGCAGCAGGAAATAAGAGATCTTCAGGTCAGTGTGAAACAATACACTGGACATAATAGAATAGGGCTGCGGTTTACCCACACTGCGGGTGCAGTGCAGTGTACCTGCAGCTTTTCTATGGGTTAGCTGCGCTTAGCCATATACTTCTATTATATCCTGAGGGTTTGGTGCACTTTTTGAAAACGTACCAAAACTCCTGAATGCAGGAGTTTTGGTGCACTTTTAGAAAGTGCACCACATCTGCAGGATATAATAGAAGTCTATGGCAAAGCACAGGTAACCCAGGAAAGTTGCACATAATTGCGATACAGTAGTATGGCAATTAGAGCCTTAAATCGGATGTGAGGAGGCGACACTGTGCAACACTGTGCCCGGAGAACTTCTTCCATGTTGTTCTGTTAGATCTCCACCTCTTTAACCCCTTCACGCCGGATCGTCCTGGCGTGAAGAGGAGTTCCTGCCCCGGGAGGTGGACGGGGCATGGCTTGGTGTCATGTGGCCACCGTGACGTCATATCACAGCCGGTCACATGATCGGGAAAGGTCCCAATTGAAAGAGCGGACCGGGACCTTTCCGTGAGTACTTCACATGTGTGCTGGGAGCGCGCAGGACGCGCGCTCTCAGCACATATGTTTTTTGCTACATGAACGCAAATATGCGGTCGCTCGGCGTCTAGGCCCAGACGCTGGGAGGCCGCACATTTGCGTGCGGCCGGCGTGAAGGGGTTAAGTTTGCCTACCTCTGATTTTCAGGGTTTAAACAGGAGGTGAAGAGATGACATATCACGTCCTCACCACCTGTCAAACACCCCTGAAATGCAATCCAGCACAGATGGCTGGGGGAAAAGTATAGCCACACGTGAAACTTATCATTCCAGTTCATTTTTCAGGACAAGCTTTTGCTCATCAGCCCATTTCTTTTTCATCTATGTGTACCAATACAACTACAATCACCTTAATTTAGCTAAAAGGATTCTTATTTATTGGAATTTTAAAAAAAAAAGGAATTTTCCCTTTGCACACTGAATTTTCACTTATCCTAGTGCAGGAGGTCAAACAAGGTGCAAAAAACACCAAATGATGCAAGGAAAAACATGAGTTAGGTCAGAAAAACTTCATCTCATTCTAAGTGATTTATTTCCATTTCAAAGTAAACTTTCACTTATTATTCTTATTATTATTATACATTGTTTATATAGCGCCAAAAGGTTTGCTCAGCGCTGTACATTAAAGTGGGGGGGGACAGTACATGAGACAATACAGTAACAATACAATACACAAGGGGTTCGAGGGCCCTGCTCTTTCACGCTTACAATCTAGGAGGGAGGGGGTAGAGGTACAGGAGAAAGTGGCTGTGGGGGATGGAGTGGTAGGAGGAGTGGAGGAGAATGGCTGTTAGGTGAGGGTGGGGTAGGCTTCCCTGAAAAGATGGGTTTTCAGGGTGCGCCTGAAGGTGAGGAGGGTAGGTGACAGTCTGATTGATTGGGGTAGGGAGGTCCAGAGGATGGGAGAAGTCCTGGAGTCGGGCGTGGGAGGAGGAGACCAGGGAGCTAGAGAGTAGGAGGTCCTGTGAGAAGCGAAGAGCACGGGTAGGGTGGTATATGGGTATCAGGTCAGTGAGGCAGTTTGGGGCAGCGTTATGAATGGCTTTGTATGTCAGAGTTAGTAATTTAAATTTAATGCGTTGGGCAATCGGGAGCCAGTGAAGGGATTGGCAGAGGGGGGTGGCAGAAGTGGAGTGGTTGGTAAGGTGGATGAGTCTAGCCACTGAGTTCAGGATAGACTGGAGCGGGGATAGCCTGTGTTGGGGTAGGCCGGTGAGAAGGGAGTTGCAGTAGTCTACGCGTGAGATAATAAGGGAGTGTACAAGTTTAGTGGTGTCTGGGGTGAGGAACGTAGGTATCTTGGAGATGTTGCGGAGGTGGAGCCTGCATGAATTTGACAGTGATTGGACATGAGGTTGGAAGGAAAGGTTTGAGTCCAGGGTGACACCTAGGACTTTGGCTTGCGGGGTGGGATTGATGGTGGCGTTGTTAGTCGTGATGGAGAGGATGGGTGGGGGGGCTCGGGCTGGGGGGGGAAAACTAGGAGCTTTGTTTTGGAGAGGTTTAACTTAAGGAAATGGAGCGACATCCAGTCTGATATGTCGTTTAGGAGGTGGGTGATGTGGGCAGAGACTGAGGGGGTGAGGTGAGGGGTGGAGAGGTAAATTTGTGTGTCATCGGCATAGAGGTGATAGTTGAAGCCGTGGGAGTGTATCAGTTTGCCAAGTGAGGAGGTGTAGATGGAGAAGAGAAGGGGTCTGAGGACAGAGCCTTGGGGGACCCCAACAGAGAGGGGGAGAGAGGGGGAGGTGGCAACGTTATAGGTGACGCTGAAGGAGCGTTGGGATAGGTAAGAGGAGAACCAGGAGAGAGCAGAGTCCCTGATGCCAAGGGAGTGTAGTTTATTAAGGAGGAGGGGGTGGTCAACTGTGTCAAAGGCCGCGGAGAGGTCGAGGAATAGGAGGACAGAGTAGTGGCCATTAGCTTTGGTCTTCTGAGAAGACCTTAGTGATCTCCTCAGTGGTAGCAGGGCTGAAGGAGCGGAGTGTTGGGGAGGTTATAGTGTGCGGGACGTTAGGTGTGGTGGGGGGCAGTGCGGTTGCGAGGTCAGAGGAGGGGAGAGTTAAGGGGGTGATGGAGGGAGGGATGCTTGGTGGAGAGGTAGATTGTGAATTGACAATGTCCTTACGGATTGCGTCAGTCTTGTTTTGGAAATGATTGGCAATCTCGTGGGTGGTGAGTGAGGTACTGAGTGGAGGTACTTATCTTATGAAGTGAAGCTGTGCTGACTTCAATCATCAAACCATATGCAAGCAATATCAGTGCCAGAATGCAACCATATAAACAAGCAACTCCTCGTACATCATCTCCAGAAATTAATTGGATATAATACATTGATGACATCTTCAGTTTGTGGATGGGGCTACATTTAATTATTTCACTTTTCATGGATTCTTTGCATTGTAAGTGTATGGTTACTCTGTTGTTGTTTCTCTCTACAATCCTGTGACTCCTCATAGTGACCACTGCATTTATATAATCTAAGACCTGCACAGACTGATCTATCCAGGTCTCAAAGTCCTCTTTCTCAAATAGAACAGTTATCTTCCCTGAATGAAACTGCTGCATTTTGTACCCATAGTTAACAGATGGAGAGAAATTTTTTCAAAAAGTTATTTTTCCACCAGACCTTCCACTTTGGTGAAAATGGAAGCTGGATGAAATTCCAGGGGCATCTGTGTAAAAACACTAGAGAAAGGTGGAGACTTCACTTGGGTTTGGTGCCATCTGGCTGCAAACCCCTGAGTTTGTTGCTGATGGACTCATATCTATAAGGCTTCGTTATTGGCTGTCAGCTGCAATTTCACATACCAGAAGCAAGCTGAAAGGTCCTTTGTTCTACCAGTGCATAGTGTCAGGGCAGGAGCTGTGGAACGGACAGGCAGGCCTAGAGGTAGGGTCACGCAATGACTGACGTCAACCACCACCCACAGACCGGAGTCCCTCAGGGCTCAGCAACGGGAGGTCAGATCAAAGGAAAACAGAGAATGG